CACCATTGGCGTATCTGAACAGTTGAAACGGAATGAAACTGCGTTGGCGTATACGGACAGTTGAAACTGACCACAACACCATTGGCGTATCTGAATAATTGAAACGGAATGAAACTGCGTTGGCGTATACGCACAGTTGAAACTGACCACAACACCATTGGCGTATCTGAACAGTTGAAACGGAAGGAAACTGCGTTGGCGCATACGGACTGTTGAAACTAACCACAACACCATTGGCGTATCTGAATAGTTGAAACGGAATAAAACTGCGTTGGCGTATACGGACAGATGAAACTGACCACAACACCATTGGCGTATCTGAACAGTTGAAGGAATGAAACTGCGTTGGCGTTTACGGACAGTTGAAAATGATCACAACACCATTGGCGTATCTGAACAGTTGAAACGGAATGAAACTGCGTTGGCGTATACGGACAGTTGAAACTGACCACAACACCATTGGCGTATCTGAACAGTTGAAACGGAATGAACCTGCGTTGGCGTATACGGACAGTTGAAACTGACCACAACACCATTGGCGTATCTGAACAGTTGAAACTAAATAAAACTGCGTTGGCGTATACGTACAGTTGAAACTGACCACAACACATTTGGCGTATCTGAACAGTGGAAACGGAATAAAACTGCGTTGGCGTATACGGACAGATGAAACTGACCACAACACCATTGGCGTATCTGAACAGTTGAAAGGAATGAAACTGCGTTGGCGTTTACGCACAGTTGGAACTGATCAAAACACCATTGGCGTATCTGAACAGGTAAAACGGAATGAAACTGCGTTGGCGTATACGGACAGTTGAAACTGATCACAACACCATTGGCGTATCTGAACAGGTGAAACGGAATAAAACTGCGTTGGCGTATACGGACAGTTGAAACTGACCACAACACAATTGGCGTATCTGAACAGTTGAAACGGAAGGAAACTGCGTTGGCGTATACGGACAGTTGAAACTGACCACAAAACCATTGGCGTATCTGAACAGTTGAAACGGAATGAAACTGCGTTGGCCTATACGGACAGTTGAACCTAACCACAACACCATAGGCGTATCTGAACAGTTGAAACGGAATGAAACTGCGTTGGCGTATACGGACAGTTGAAATTGACCACAACACCATTGGCGTATCTGAATAGTTGAAACGGAATGAAACTGCGTTGGCGTATACGGACAGTGAAACTGACCACAACATCATTGGCGTATCTGAATATTTGAAACGGAATGAAACTGCGTTGGCGTTTACGGACAGTTGAAACTGACCACAACACCATTGGCGTATCTGAATAGTTGAAACGGAAGGAAACTGCGTTGGCGTATACGCACAGTTGAAACTGACCACAACACCATTGGCGTATCTGAACAGTTGAAACGGAAGTAAACTGCGTTGGCGTATACGGACAGTTGAAACTGACCACAACACCATTGGCGTATCTGAACAGTTGAAACTGAATAAAACTGCGTTGGCGTATACGCACAGTTGAAACTGACCACAACACCATTGGCGTATCTGAACAGTTGAAACGGAAGGAAACTGCGTTGGCGTATACGGACAGTTGAAAATGACCACAACACCATTGGCGTATCTGAACAGTTGAAACGGAAGGAAACTGCGTTGGCGTATACGGACAGTTGAAAATGACCACAACACCATTGGCGTATCTGAACAGTTGAAACGGAAGGAAACTGCGTTGGCGTGTACGCACAGTTGAAACTAACCACAACACCATTGGCGTATCTGAACAGTTGAAACGGAAGGAAACTGCGTTGGCGTATACGGACAGTTGAAACTGACCACAATACCATTGGCGTATCTGAACAGTTGAAGCTGAATAAAACTGCGTTGGCGTATACGGACAGTTGAAACTAACCACAACACCATTGGCGTATCTGAACAGTTGAAACGGAATGAAACTGCGTTGGCGTATACGCACAGTTGAAACTGACCACAACACCATTGGCGTATCTGAACAGTTGAAACGGAAGGAAACTACATTGATGCATACGGACAGTTGAAACTGACCAAATAATTGTTGATATATCCGGTCAGTAGATTGCGTCCAAAAACATCGATGGCATATCCGTACATATAGGGAGAATAAATATTTGTTGTCGCTTCTGTTGCTTTCTTTTTGTAATTGAAAATATATTTAGAAGCTATAAAATTGTCTTCAATCTATTTAGATTATGGCATTAAATAATTCATAGAGGTTGAAATGCCGCTAAACAAAATCAAAGAACGAACATAAAAAATTCTTTCATGACATTGATCCATATAACATCTTAGAATTTCTTAAATCAAACTATATTCCAAAATATAACTTCAACAAAACTACAATATCAAACACACATATTACCGCCTCTAGTAATTATTTCCACAGAAAGATATGCACAAAAGCTGAGTATCATTTACCATGTATTCAATTGTGAAAGCAGAATAACATATTTTTTATACTTTTGTTCTGTCTTGTCTTAAAATTGATCGTTAGTTTTTTTTCTTGTTTTTCTTTGAGACGTTCTCTGGGAGTTGCTGCGGTTTTTTTTTCTGTGTATGTAACCAACATACTCTGCCAGCTGCATTTCCTATTTTATTAAGATTGTGACTACCAATAATAAATCCTGGTCGGACGTCTAGTTCTTTCAGGATCGCCTCGGTGTAAAAGTTGTATATATCTGGAGAGTCACTCATATTGACAATAAAAGCGCGACTCCACTATCAAACACTCGGACTCTAGGTAGACACGAAGAGTTGGACTTTAACCGCGAGAAAATAGATTGAAATGATCTCAAGTATAATCAATATTGGCAGTACTACTTTCAGTTGATTTGGTTTGCTTTATTTTGTTTTACGGCATATCAACGTCAATAGCTTATTTAATGCCGACAAGATTTTGAGGATAGGTTCGTATGAATAGAATATGTATTCTTTGTAAAATATCAGTTTGTAGATCAGGTTTTATTGACGTATTTTTGTGAAGATGTTTTTTGTCGAGAGTCAAATGTATTGCTGGTAATAAGTTTTCTTCAAATATATATATTGCTGGTATTTTTGCTATAAATCCTTTTTTACACTTTCATAGTATTTTCACGCCATGTTAAGAGTTAACAATTTGCCCATAGCCGGGACCCTAACAGATGCTACCACCACGGATCAGTGTGGACTTGAGAACAACATCAATTAAGAGGTACTTCCAAGCTCCTCAAAACCTCTTGATTAGGGACCTTGTTGCCGGATGTAGTTTATCGTCACAACCAGGACGACTTCATTTGAAGTAAATTAAACCACTTCCTCACATTCGTACGATGTAAGAAAAATTTTCAAGCCATCAGTGTCCACATGAATTTTATTGAAATGAGTTGTACGCTCCGGCCTTCTTCAGGTGGTTGGAATGTCGAACTGAACCCTTCATTTCGCTCGCTGGGGTAGACTGTTCTAGTTCCACGTGCCATGTCTCATGGATGTCAGTTATCAGCTATCTGTTAATTCCAGGTTCTCCCTCTCCAAGTTAACCAGGTATTGAACTCACACTTTTAACGCCTTTATCCACTGTGCCATGTATCTTTGAGGACATTTGTCTATAAATTTCTGGGTATTATAAACCTAATGTCTTCAGCAATCATTTATTTACCAGTGCTCATATTACAATTGTTGCTGTTATCATTACATGTTTCTTTTTGCCATAGCTCATATTGCAATTTTCGTTGTTATTATTGCTTTTCTTTAGCACTCCTTAATACTGGTTCCCATATTGTATTCATTTCTATGCTTGGTCGGCTCAGGAGATTTTTGTGGCCTAGCAGATGTGCTGATTCCTTAAGTTTGCGATTTTCCCAATGATGTTCAATGTCTATGATTTCAACCTGATCCCACAGAGGGTGATGATCTCCCTTTTCTCGCCATATGTTTTTCCCACTTCCCCTCGTGTTACAGCTTTCTGGTGTTCTTGAAGCCTTACCTTAAGGGGGTGGCCTGTCTCCCCTTTATATTTCTTTCCGCAGTTGCACGGGATGGAGTACACACAGTTTTTAGTCATGTTCTTTCTATGAAGAAAGCTGGAGCGTACAACGGCCAAAACGTTGTGATAAATATGGCAACAAATATGAGGATGATAGTCCGAACAATGTAAATAGTGTACATAATACCTCATCCCACATCTTTGTCGCCATATTTATTACAACGTTTCGGCCTTTCAGTATCTGTCTATATTCCTAAGATGCGGTATTATGTACACTATTTACATTATTCGGACTATTGTCCTCATCTTTGTCGCCATATTTATTACAACGTTTCGGCCTTTCAGTATCTGTCTATATTTCTGAGATGAGGCATTATGTACACTATTTACATTATTCGGACTATTGTCCTCATCTTTGTCGTCATATTTATTACAACGTTTCGGCCTTTCAGTATCTGTCTATATTTCTGAGGAGACATAGGTAGGTAGACAGAGAGAGAGACAGAGAGAGAGAGAGAGAGAGAGAGAGAGAGAAAGGAAGAGATAGATAGAGAGATGGAGAGATAGAGAGAGGGAAGTATAGAGAGGGCTAGAGGGATAGATAGACAGATAGATAGATAGATAGATAGATAGATAGGGAGATAGAGAGCGATAAAGAGAGAGGGATACATAGATAGATAGATAGAGAGAGATACATAGATAGCTAGAGACAGAATATGTATGCGTGTTTTATTGAGAGAGTTGTAAATATTAAAGAGGGACTTATTAAGTGAATTGATTGATTTTTTTACGGATTACCAACCTTTTATGTGTAATTTAAAGCCGAAAGATATTCTTGTAAGTAAAATTCTTTGTTTTACCGATTAATATTGTATTAATATTTTTAGTGATAATATTAATTTTCAGATACAAGTCCTACTATTTAACCCATAGATAGGGGGAGAAGAGATGGATTCATACCTTTTCCCAATAGTATTTGCTCGTAAGTAAATGTAACGAATCCGGCTGAATTGCGCCTTACAAGCATATCACAGTGAAACATCGGTTCACGTAGATCACTGAAGTTATGCAACGACGAGCCTGGTCAGTACCTTGATGGGTAACCGCTTAGGAATACCAGGTGCTGTAAACTTGAATGTGCAGGTGAATAATGGCTTGGAATTGTTAATCGGAGAGCCGCAAATACCCTTTAGAAAGGTATAAATCCACCTCTTCTCCCCCCAAGTATGGGTTAATTCGTAAGACTAAAACTATTATTATAAAAAAAAAAAATTCTTACAATCTAAATATGTTATCTGTCTTTAAATAACTTGCAAATGACCGTAAAAACGAACCAATCAATAAGTGATTTTCAAACCGCTATTTAGATGTGGCACAAGACCGGAAATATAGAGCACCCAGTGAGGATCGAACTCACTACTCAGTTGTAATTGTTCTAGACAAGATTGCTAACCATTACACCACGCCGAGATGCCCAACGGATCAATCAATTAATGGGATTCGAATTCGGACCTACGTTTTCTTATTTAGAGCCATTATCAATTACACCCGCATATCCAATCTTACATCACTTGGTATCCCCAAGTAGATACCCAAATAGGTACTGACTAGGCTCGAAGCTACTTAACTTATCGAACGGACAAGAACCGGTGTTGGAATGTGATATGGCCGTAAGCTTTTATTAAGTAGAAGCAGCCCAATTGATAGATCGTTAAACAGAAGGTCGTTTATTATCCGCCGCTAAGCTTCCTCAGTTGGCGTGGACGGTATTACAATGGATAGTCGAACATTATACCCCATTAACTTGGACGCCCTTGATCGTCACTGACTGAAAATTAATTAAGCCCAAACTCACTCCCACGCCATTTAAATTTGCCCCAAGAAACAGCAAAATATGCGTTCAAATATAATTGACTAAACTTGCCAACTGCTGCTATGCAAATACCGCATACAAACAGTGACTGAAATGAATTTAAGTAGTCAAGGCTTAATTTAGTTTGGCAAAAGACCATATAATTAGAGCACCTTATGACTTGAAATACTAATGGTTATTAGTTCAGCTAGGTCTGGTACAAGGCCGAAAATATGGGGAATACGGTGAGAATCGAACTCATGATAGTAATGATATTTACCCGGTTTAGCTAAGTCTGCTGCAAGGTCGGAAATATTGAGCATCTAGCGAGTATCGAATTCTTTAAGAAAGTGATATTTATTTATATAGCTTGGCCTAGTCTGGTACAAGGCCAAACTTTAGAGGCGATTACTGAAAACTGAGCTCACTAGAGAGGTAATTGATATTTATTCGGTTTTGACCTATTCTGACACAAGACCAATTATTAGGAGCACTCACTGAGAATCAAAATCATTAGATAATACATGTTTACTCGGAATAACATAGTCTTGCAAGAATATCCTCCTTAATTTTAGCACACAGATAAATGAAGAGATTTTCAACTCGCTAGGTAGATTATTGATATTTACTCGGTTTGGACTAGTCTGGCACAAGGCCAAACCTTAGGGGCACACATTGAGAATCAACATCACAAGATAGGTTTAGAAACTAAGTTTAGCTTACTCTGGTACCAAGCTAGGGATTTTCACTGAGAATAAATATGTAATTGATATTTACTGAGTTTAACCTAGTCTGGTACAAGGCCAAATAATAGCAGCGCTCCTTGAGAATCTATTACTTTAGATAGAGAATTGATATTTACTCTGTTTAATTTGATCTGGTACAAGGCCACCTATTAGAAGCACTCACTGAAACACAAACTCACCCGAAATAACATAGTTTTGCTGAAACTTTTCTCGTTACTTATGGAACACGGGGTAATGAGGAGGATTCAACTACGTGTAAGTGGCATGATGGATCCTGGTTATAAAGGGCTGGACTGGTATAGTTAAAGAAAGGAGGTTATCTGAACACTTGCTGGAGAATATCAATAGACTTGCAATGCTGCGTGTGTGAGAAAGATTGCAATGGTGAAATGTAAATATTATCAGATCATTGCAAAAGTTGTGCCTGATTTTGTAGTCTCTGTCTGTCTGTTTGTTATTGAACTCCTCGCTGGATTTTGGAGATAGACCCCCCCCCCTAACTATATACAGTAGCGTCCAAAACTAAGGGACAAAATTTTAAAACCTAATATTTGTTAGAAATAACAACTGTGAAAAGCTGAAATTTTGACAACTGGTAGTCGTTATCATCCATAATAACATACTAAAATTTGAATCATTTGCAAAGGATAGAAAAAGAATTATAACATTTATTTATTTTCAAATTTGGAACGTCCAAAAGTAAGGGACAAAATTGAGAAAAACAATGTAAACGGCAAAAAAACAATAAAAAATACATGTACAATAAATATTTAGTAAATGAGCCCTTGCTCTCAATGACAGCTGCACATCTTCGACAACAAGAACGAATCAGTTCTTGACAATCCTCGATACTAATTTTAGACCATTCTTCTTGAAGCTTCACCCACAAATCCTCCGTGTTAGTGGGATTTCTTTCCATAACTTTCACTCCTAAGGTCTTCCAAAGATTTTCTATTGGATTTAAGTCAGGACTTTGCGGTGGTCAATCCATAATTTCCAAATCTTGCTCACTAAGGTAACTCATTACCACCTTTGCCTTGTGATATGGGGCATTATCTTGCATAAAGGTAGCCCTATCGAAACCTGAATTCTGTATGATTGGCACAACATGATCTTGAACAATGTTTTTATAGATCTGCGCGTTTACACGAGTTTGTAACCGGACAAGAGGCGTTGTCCCTTGGCTAGAAAACATTCCAAATACCATGACGCTTCCGCCCCCAAACTTGACAGTTTTCTTAGTACACTTTGCACTTAATCTTTCACCAATACGTCTCTTTACATTGTTTTTTCCATCATTTCCAAATAAATTAAACTTGCAAGAAAATGTATGACACGCAGCAAGGTGCGGGTAATTTAGCTAGTTGTTAATATAAAATGACACTGGTATTTTCTTTGTCGCCGATTTCTGGTGTGTTCTAAATTGAAACCTTGCATCGTTCAGTTGCCAGTTAGACTTTGTTTAATGTTGACGTTTTGTCCATAAATGTCTTAAAGATGGAGGATGAGAGGTTGCGCTTTTGCCATGTTTAGTTCTATGAATTTCGGAAAGGATTAAGCATCGTAACCGTGACAAAAAAATTCAGAAGGTTTATTTGGATCGTGCTCCAGTTTTTTGGACGGTCAAAAATTGTTTTGGCAGATTTTGTCAGGGTGATTTTAACCTAAACGATCAACCACACCCCGGATGACCTTCTGCGGACAATGAAGATGCTCGGCTTGCCATTGTTGAGAATAAACCGAAGATTTCGACGGAAGAGATTTCCAAGAGTTTGAAAATCGATATCTCAACCGCCTTTCGTCAATTGAATAGACTTGGGTTCGTTTCCAAACTCGACGCGTGGATGCCACATTCTCTGACGGAACAGAACAAGCCCGATCCTGCTTCTATGGTGATATATTTGCTTTTACGCCAAGAAAAAGATTCATTCTTTGAGAGAATTGTCACAGGCGAACGAAAAACGGATTGTTTATGATAACGTTCGACGTGAACGGAGCTGGAAATAAGATTGTGAATGTGCAGAGACTGTGGCTAAATCTGGCTTGCAGAGAGGGATAATTCACTTTGAACTTCTTCCCGCTTGTAAGAAGATAGAATTCATAATTTTTCAGCAAGAGGAATATCCTAGGATTCGCATGACGAGTCGGTGATAACAAATTCATGCAAGTACGAAAATTTAACGTTGACAGAAAATGTAATCCCGAAACACGAAGGAACATTGGAATATTGAAAGATGCCTTCCAAAAGCAAAGTCTTAAGAAACAGGAACATTTTGTTAGAACCAAAGAAAATCATGCTAAGCTGTTATGTAATATGAGTCCCCCTTTATGGCACTGGGTGGTGGACAATCCCCTCACAGATGAAGATGAGACTTGAGGTAACAGAAGTTCTACAGAAAGATGCTGAGAATACCATGGACTGAACATGTGACTAACAAGGAAGTTTAAGGAAGAAAATCGACACTGAGACTTAGAAAGAGACAGTTGAAATTTCTGGCTCATATAATGAAAAAAGGGGGCTTGGAGAATCTGATACTCACAGGATATATCGAATGCAAGACGGACAGAGGGAAAGAGCTATTAACCTTCTTAACGGGCTTCTGTAAATTGATGACAGAACAGGAAGTGGAATTGATGGCGAGAAATAAACTTTACTAAGAGCTACAACGGATAGGAAATTTTAGAGCGCCAAATTCGATATGAAATATCTCAACAGGGTTAACATGTCATTAAATCAACCAACCAACGAATTGAAAAAAAAAAGACCCTCGTCTCTTGTGGGATCGACTAACGCCGAGGAGCTTTCTTGATGTCAAAAATTTGAGGCACACCCATCGCTGAATCCAACCGCACGCTCAGCTTGAGGTTGAGAAAATGTAGCTTTATAAACTTGCACTAATCGCCCCCCCCACTGCATCCGCTGTTGAAAATATTGTATCGCTCGGGTCTTGGAATTCCTGAGAAGGATAGGAAATCGTTTCCAGAATCACAAGGCCAAATCATGATAATTACATTTAATATTATGTATTGATTAGTAAGAGTCGGTTTTTAAATTCAAGAAAAAAAAAATTCCGTGTGAAGCGAAGTATTTTTATTAGTAAATATAGATAATATATTTCTGGAATTACTTTGGCAATTTCCTTGCCGTAAAAAAAAAAGAAGATATCTTGTAAGAACTGTTTAGCGTCTTTGATAGTTTTGGCGATAAGTCGATAAGAAATATTTTATTACTTCTGAAAGAGATGATTGCTTTAATGATGGATTATGGTATGTAATCAACAATGGCGATTGAGGACGGACAGCCGTTTGTGAAGGAAGAGAAATAGACCATTATTATGGATGATCAGGAGAGATGAAGCAGAAATAAAAAGACACAAGAAAGAAAAGAGAAAAGAAACAGAAAACGAAAATATGGAAAAGAAGAAAGATTTGGATAACAAGGACAAAAATCTAGAAAAGAGAGAGAAAGCAAGTCATACCAAGAATGTATAGAAGATAAGGAAATTGAGAAGAAAAAAACAAACTGAGACA